CTCAGAGTGTACGCAATGAACTTGGTGTACCAAGTGTCAACTTGATGTACTTTCAGTAGTCTGTGCAGCCAGGCGACGTTCAGGCAGTTACAGAACCAAATGAAACCAGGTGTTTTAAGGCAAATACTAGATATGCCATTGAGAAGCTCAAGTTCAGTTCTAACAGACTAACAATCATTTCAATTGAAAACAAAAATTAATGTAATTGGTCTTAGCAGCGTACAGTAGTTTTTAGAACAAGCTGCAGTCCCCTCCTTCCCACCCACAACAGGAATCAATGGATCCAGCCAGAGTCCTGTGAGTACGAGCCCATGGCAGCTAAAAATAATGTCCACCGTCTTCACTATCTAATAGCACATGAAGCTAAAAGTCTCCTTTTTTCTGTTTACCTCTGGGTGCTTACAAGGTGCAAGCTAATAGTTTTATTCTCTATAGATCAGGTACCTACATCAGTCGGCATCTAATCTGAGCTCCATTTGATGTAAGGCCATCCCCACCCTGAGGAAGGATTAGCTCCAGTGAAATTGAGGAGAGACATTAAAAGAAGGCCACGTCATGCCTTCCAACCCACAATGCTTCCTGCATTCCATCAGTGCGATTACCTCTAAGCTATCATCCCATCTACAGGCAGTATTAAAAGGCTACAGATAAAATCATTAATCACAAAGCAGGCTGTTTCAAGGCAAGACTTGCTACACAGACTCCATTTTCCCAAAGTCTCTGCGCACACCAAGAAAGCTACCATTTTATTAACGGAACAGTCCAAACAAGAAATGCCAATTTTAAAGAGTTTCCCCATGTTTCTCAAGCTGAGCGACCATTTTTGATGCTTGCCGACATCCACAGAAGTACCATGCAGGAGATACGGAGCTAAGGACTAACAAACAAACCTCAAATTATCAGTTCACCTGGGAAACTTGCAACTGTGATATCACAACTTTTCCCTACTTCACACCCAAAACCATGTCACCTCTTTGGCAGTGTACGACCACTGGTTTCACATCCATCAGACTGTAACACTCAAGCTGCATCCACGCCAGGAGCACAGCCACCCGTAAGGCTCTGATGGTGAATGCTCTCTTCTGCAGTTGTAACTACAGGCCATTACCTTTCACTTAGAATACATTTAAAAATAAATAAATGCATAAAGTACCAAATGATTTAGTGAAATGTTCTCCAGACAAACCCTAATATCTTACCTTCAAGAAACAAAACTAATTGGAGGAAAAAGAACATTTTCATTTATAAAGCTCTGTGTTTTAAAATGGCACTTGAGTGATGGGCAATTACACATTAAGCAATTTCTATTATGTAGTAACAGATACAGAAGGAATGATTAAAAAAACCCCCAAGCCTAAATACTCCAAGAAACAAAATTAGCGTGCAACACTTGTATGATCAATGTAAACGTAACCACAAACATTTGCATAAGAATAGTGCAGTAAATAACCACCCCACAGCTGAGACACTTACAGGCACATTAGTGAATATAGTTTCATTTCTTGCTGAGAGGATGGCAATTTATTAAACCACCCAAACAAAGCATGTTGCAATCACCAGTTGTGCTTTAATTAGGCAAGAATGATCCTTCTGAAAGCAAAACGGAGGACTAGGTGAACCAGCAAGTCCTTTCCAGGAGCTGTGATTCACCACGTTTCAGACTACTCACTGTATAGAAGTTTAAGTCTTTTGATGACCATGTGGACATGGACTGAAAGACAAGTCTGCAGGCCAAGACAAGCCAGCCCATCACACCCAGCTCCACACAGCCCCGCACCTAACAGCAATGACAATGCACCAGCTGGAATAACTATGCATTCTGGAGCAGTGCCACCCATTTTGTTGTTGCATTTATCTATTGCCAGCTGAGCTATGGGACAGATTTCCCACAGAGAAATGCTTTTTTGGTTTTTCTTCAGAAAAGGGGGATGTCTGCAACTCCATACAAGAGGCGAGACAGGATATGCCAAATTTCATCCTGCAGCCCAAACCCATCATACCAATGAAGACATTTCTCTGCTCTGTTCCTCAAGAAATATAACCCCTATGGAGGAAGGTTGCTCAATGGTATGGATGAGGTGCTTTGTTTTTCTGCTTCAAAGACTAGGAGAGTAAAGGGTGGGAAACATTATTAAGGGAAGGGGAGTACAATCTATGCTGCTGGGAGCCTGGAAGGCAAACTGAAAGCTGGCCTGAAGTCATCTCACCCAAATGTTCTTATTCCCAGATAAACACGGTGAGCGTGATCCTGGCAGAAATACCTGCAAGGAGGGCTCAAAAGCTGGAAACTGGCACTGCAGATCTGGGATATGGATGACCATGAGATAGACAGTCATCACTCATGAAACTCTCAGGTCCTTCAAATCCAGGTGTGCTGGGAAAACAGGTAAGTGCACAAAACCAGGATTAATATTTTAAAGACAAACACCTGGCTAATGCTTAATGTGTAATACCTGTCTCATTTGTCACCTGACATCCTTCATGATGGGAACTGTGCTCAGATGAGACAGGGACTTTAGTCTTTAACATGAGGTCAGTTGTCATCAGAGCTCCTGCCAGCCCTGATTAAAGCTGATGTGCTGACAGCAGGGCACTACAACAAGCAGAGGTGGCTGCCACGGATCCCCTCCATACTCCTCGACTAGTGCAAGGGGACACCACGGCGCTGGTGGGGCTGCTCTGGCTGCACCGTTTGCATCAGAGCATCAGGGTTGTGTTAAGCGAGCAAAGCCCTTGTTTGAGGTTTGTTTTTTGGTACAGACTTTGTACAGAGCCTCTCTCAAAACCTGTACCATTTTGGAGTCTCCTTTTGATCTTTGATTGTATTGAGAAATACATAAATACCCCAACAGATCCTGGTCATACAAATATCAGCACAACCAGTAAAATACACAGCTCAGTACTAAAGCTAGACTTTCCCCAGACTGCTGGACAATTGCTTTTGTTCTGGGAGCAGAGAGAAGCGGCAGTGTGTTAACCCCTTCCATTGGTCAGATCATCATTACTGTTTTATTTAACTGCCATATCTGCACACAGCTGGATACATAGAAAAACCCTGCTCCAGCAGGGAACAGGCTATCTTTTACCAATCTGGGAAGACTAGAGCACAGCTAAACTACAGACAACATGCAGCGGGATGGTGGCACCAGTAATACGGTATCTAGTGAAGTCCAAAGCTAGGCTGCTTTTGTGCAGATGTTTAACAGCCAGGAGACAACAGCAGGATGTTATCTACGGAAGGCAGCAGTGAACAGAGTGGGTCTGGAATCTGTTTTAATAGATCTCTACCTCTATCAAACTTCTGTGTAAAGCCTGTTTGTCCGAGACTTTGCGAAGAGCAAAGCGAGCATCAAAGCTCTCCTTCGTTTTGTAGGTCAGGAAGGCTTTGGGGTTGGCACAGTGTCAGCTCATATGTATTCTGCAAAGTGCGCTTTAATTTTTCATTATAACAGTACCTACAGGCTTTGATTGAAATAAATAATGAACTAATTCGTATCATGAATCTAAGAATCGCTCTCTTCTGGTCCCCATCAGAGAGAGGATTTTCTTCCCAGTGACAAGTGTTAACGCATTTCTGCCCTAGTTTCCCACAGTGGATGTCACTATTGAAGTGTCAGGAAGGAAGGTTAGAGCTGCTTTTTCAGTCTGCTCCCGTCAGCCTCAGCAGTCCGTCTTGGATGAAAACATCCTGGCAGAACACAGGCTGAAAGAAGGCTGGATTTTAAACAGCACAGCAAAAGTCTTTGTGTTGTATATGATTAAAATGTAACACTGAATAGGTCTTTTTCTCAGTCTGAGTCAGGGAGGATGGCTCCACTATGCAAAATTACAGGGTTTTTTTTTGCAGAATGGCAGAAGTTTCACAAGTCTTTAATGTAGTCAGAGACCATTTTCTACACTCTTCTCAGTTTTCAGTGCTGTTCTTTCTGATACCTCACCCAGCACAAATCCTGACAGGTACCACTCCATTTCTGAGAGCTGACAGAGGACAGCCAGCCATTCACCATGGTGGGACCCCAAAGCGGCACCTACCTTCACTTCTTACAAAGCAAAAATGGTCAAGACCTAAACCCAGTGGGATTCAGATGCTATGTTTGGTTTGAACTATTCTGACTGTGTCAATCATGATAACTTTAATAAGCACAGTTACTTGCGAAAGAACAAGAAAATCGATTATCAAAAGCTCCTTGACTGTAATTTCGAAGTTTTGCCAAATTAGTTTAATACAATTCCGTTTCAAGAGGAATTTGTATTATGTGCACACAATAAATGCTGTAACCCACCCAGGTACTAATCCCCTTTGCAAACTGTGTGACACTGCAGAGAAAGTGGATAAAATGCTGCCCAAATCAAATGGTAATGAAAATAAAGTACAATTGGCATGGCTTACCACAATGCTCTAGCAGCATCTTTGGAAGATGGCACTGAAGAGGAGCCATTGCAATTAGGCAGGTATAACAGGAGAAGTGTTAGATTGCGGAATTAGAGCTGCTCCCATCTCCCTTGCAAAGCTTTACAATGTCAAAACAAGGCAGCAGTATCAGTGCATTGATACTAGATTAGAAGCCCTTTTTAAATGGAAAAGAGTATTTTCTTCTGAAAAATAACTAGAGATTAATTTTATTCACCCAAACTACATCCGTCACTGCTGGAAGCTGCTGCTGAAGGACCACAGGCTCTGTCCTGGATGACACCACATTGCATGCAAATCTCTGGCTCAGTACAGTGGTGGCTGCACGAGACATAATGTCTTGTGACACAGGGAAGGTCAGATTAGACTATTTGACCGTCAGGCTAAATTTATCGATTTAGTGAAATATATTAATAACACCATTTTAATTAAGACAACATAATACAAAGAGCAATACCACTTAGTCCATTACAGAACTGAGTTAAAATGCAGTATTCCTGTAATCACTTTTGTACATGATCTAGTTAAAATTAGCCAGGAGAGCTGTTACTGTAATGCATGGGAATACAAGTAGAAAGCTGCGACTCACCGAAGCAAAGTCACTGCACTCCATTACAACCTCAGCAGAGCCAGACACGCCAGTTGGGAATAACGAAAGAGGGAACGCTTAAGGATCATATATAGCACAGCTCACAGACCTTGGGGAACAAAATGTATTTCATTACAATGGCATTGTTTCGACAGAAACAAAACCCAAATTACTCATTTGCTGCTGTTGGTTTTACTCCATCAGCAATCGGGTACGTCTGCGTCAGTGCTGGACACACGGTATAAGGCAGTGCCAGGCTTTCCCCAGCTCTACACAAGAGCCAGCTGTCACATGGACAAGGGGATCAAATTCAGCAAAATAATCTTTTTGAATCTTTCTCTGCATACATTAATCTGCGCGCTTATTCCTGTTTACATTATGAGATGTATGCCATAAAAGAGCTTACAGGATGTGTATTGCAGCCAAGTTAATATTGCTGTTGGAGCCTCAGCCTCTCTATTTCCTGACTTAGCATTGCCCAGTTACAACCTTTTTTAATTCTTCATTTGTCTGATGGAGTTTATTAGTGGTTTGAACCCGTTTAAGGTAAGACGGCTACATAGAGCAGCTATTAACACCTGCAGGAAACCCAGGAAAAGAACAAGCCCTGTGCTGAAGACAATAACAACACTCAGAAATATTTAGTATAGAAATGTGTACAAATATAGCAAAGAAAGGTACTTGTAGTAACAACCCTCAGAAACAATTTAGAAATGCACCTACATTGTAAGACATTTTCATGTATCATTCAGGTAAAATCCACAGCTTTTCATATAGGGCAACTTAATGGACTTTTCAAGGGACAAAGCGCGCTGTGTACAAAAACTATAGTTAAAACAGTAACAAAACAAGTTATTTTTTTCACAGATGTCATGACTGGATTTTAAAGACAGGAAGCCCAGAAGGGTTTTACTTAAGTTGGACAAAACATTTCACAATGCTTGTGCAGATGAGCTAAGGCAGGTAGACCCTACATTAAAGCCTCTTCCTCCCTCCTAACACACGCTGTGTTCTCCTGCACCCAGGTGAACTCCTGCCCAGAGCCATTTCTTTATTTCATAAAGCTACTGAAAGGCTAGCAAGGTACTCATGGCAATACCACAGAGACATGCAAACCTATTAAATCTGGCCCTTATGAAACAGAGGTTTGATGTCTCCGCCATTGCCAAATGATCCCCGCAGTAAATCCCTGCCACCCAAGAAAGCTGCAGCTCTCTGCATTCCTAGGAAAGCCTTTACAATGCCACCTGTACTTTGACCTTCCCTCCCTATTTTGTCTTAATTGAAGGAACCAGAGCCTTCATTTCTGCCCTCGGGCTCCTGAGCATCCCTGGCTGGACTCAGGCCTGCTTATGCCCCTGGCAAAGCTGATGGTGCTGCCTTTGCCAGCTCAGGAGCTGGTAAACCAGACTAAACATCTACTCACATGTCAAGTGTTTTAGACTAACAAACCCCTGTTAACACTGTGAATGGAGCATAAAGAAGTCCTCATGTCATGACAATGGAAAGACTTTTAGCTCTTCTTTAAAATAAAAGGAAAAAAATCCCTCACATCCCACTTTTCTAAAATGTTCATGAGTTTTATAAAAGTAAAAAAGAAAAAAAAAAAAAAGGTTTCCTCCAGGCTAAGCACTGAATAATTTTAAAGAAAAAAGACTTCAAAGACACGTTTTTACATTCTATTTGCATTCAGGCATTTTGTTTTTCAGAAAACTATTACCTCAGTAATATTGCAGGCTATTTTCCACACATTGTGAGCTTTGGCTACCCAGAAGATAATTTGTCCGGTGCAAGACCCATGCAAGACAGGGAAAAGCTACTCCACAAATGGCAAAATTTGTGAGTCATGTTGAGAAATTACAGCAATATTTGCAAGGACGTGCACCCTGGACATGAAAGTGAGGGTGGCAGAGGGCATACACACATCGCATTTTGCCTTAAAATGAAGGCAGAGGGACCTAGACCAAAGCGGTCAAGTGCTTTGACTAGATCTGCTCAGCCATTCCTGCGGCCCCTCTGCCAAGAGCAAAATGAAGCCCAAGCCCTTATGGCTCCACTAAAAAGAAAAGGCTAATGCAGGGGTGCTGGGGATGATCCTTGAACCCATTGCCACTGCATTGGGCAAGAGCACACCAACCCCGTGTGTCAGTCCTCCACCAACAGCCCCCAGGGATGATGGTGGCTCAGACATGTCTCCTCTCACACAGCCGCACTCTCTCTAGACAGCAGCAGAGAAGATTTGACAGCTCACTGAGAGGAATTCATGAGCACTGCTGTTCATTAAAAGGCTACAGAAGGAGAGCACTGAGGTTAGTGGGATGGGCTATATTAAGCCCATTTATAGCTTTATGGCCCTTCAAAGGGGCATCAGAGCTTTCTGCAGCCAAATGTAATGGTCAGATAGTTACAAACTGAGACAGGCTTAAGAGAGTACCCCAGGCTACCCGGAGGAGAGGCAGCACAGTTAACTTCAGAGTTTGAGGTCAGCTCTTGATGTTTTCCTCTTACACATCTCATCCACAACCGCTTCCAGGCTTACAACACTGCATATATCACAGCCCGCTTTATGCGGACAAGAGTATTTAATGACACTGAGAACTACCTTCTGATGATTAGGGGGAAAAAAACCCAGCCAGATGTTTCATGCTGTCTGATTTTATTAAACTGCTGTGTGCAGAGAAGGGGGGTGGTTGCCGTTTTTCTGTGACTGCTACCCCTCTTCCTCATGTCCCCTGGCCCTCCTGCCCTACAAGACAGTAACACGCACTGTCACGACATGACCTAATCCAGGGAGATAGCACGAGCTGTCACAGCAGGCAATGGGGCTGCCCCTTGCCCTCCAGACAGGCACACTAGGGTCAGCAGAGCAACGAGAGGGCAGAGCAAGCACCAGGGAAATTAAACCCCACCGACGCTGGGAATGGACCCTACTGTCACCTGTCCCACTGACCTACAAAAGGATGCACCCCTCTGGCCCCTGGGCATGGAGTCCTGCTGGTCCCTGGGGGATGCACCCCACCAACCCGCTGCGAATGGAGCCGCCAGGGCTGATGTGGTACACATCCCACAGACCCCCTGCAGGGGGGATGCCGCCCTCTGGTCCCCTGGGGTTGGATCTCCAAGGCTGATGGGGGAGGCACTCCACTGACACCTAGGGAGGGGGGAAGCGTAGCACTCCACCAACCCCCTCGGGGGAAGATGAAGCGCCTCAGCCCCACGGTGGGAGATGCACCCCGCCGACCCCAGGAGATAGAGCCCCCAGGGTAATGTGGGAAGCACCCACCGACCACCGGGAGCCGAAATCTCCCTAGCACGCGGTGCGGGCTGCTCCTCACCGGCCGCGGGGGGATGCAGCTCCCCGGTGCCGGTGCCGGTGGCGGGGGGGGGGGGGGGGATGACTCCCAGTGACCGCCGGGGAACGGAGCTGCCCGGCCCGCTGCGGCAACGCGGACGGAGGGGCACGACCCAGCCCAGCCCCACCGCCCCCCGCCCCAGCCCCGCGCTGCCGCCGCGCCCCGCACTCACCTCGGCGGCACAGGGGGACCCGGCGCCCCGACACCTGCCCGGCGTCCCCGGGGCAGGGCGGCCCCGGCCCGGCGCCGCTCCCTCGCCTCCTGCCGCGCCGCCGCGCTGCCCGCCTGTCCCGGCACGGCCCGGCCCGGCCCGTTCCCGGGAGCGGCGGGGGCGGCCCCGACGGGGCGGGCGGCGCGGGGATCCCGAGAGGGGCGGCCCGACGGGGCGGGGGGCGCGGCGGCCCCTTCGCGGGGCGGCGCCCGGGCGGGTTCCACGACCCTCCCCGGGACGCGGCCGGGAGCCTTCGGGAGGCAGCGGTAGAGCCTGATAGCACCCCGGGCTGCGGGCGAGGCGGGGGGGCCGGGGCGGGGGTCGGCTGGCGCTGGAAGAGTTGTTTGGAATCTCCGGCCCCCGAGGGGCAGGCGTTGCGCCGTACAGGTTTTTAATATTTTCGGGCACGTCAGGATCTTTTTTAAGTCCTCTAAATGCTTTCCTTGTATCGCTTTTATCTTCTGTTCTCGCTCAGCAGGCAGTGCTAGTTTCAAAGCGGATTTAAACGAACAGTGAATTACCCTTTTTTCTTCTTTTGAGATCTAAAAGAATCTTTTTTTAATTTAAAAAAGTTCTTTTTTTTTTTTTTTTTTTTACTGGAAACTTAAGGTATTAAAATGAAAGCACATCCTAAAATGTGTGGTTGGTTTTTCAGGTTCACTTTTCCTAGGCTCTGTGAAAGGAAATGGTCAGCAGCTCTGTTTTCTTTCAAGCCAGAGCCCCTTCCTGACTCATGCTCCTGCTCAAAGCTCAGGGAGTGCGTTTCCAGCGCTGGTGTTCTAAAATTAAATCTGAAAAAAAAAAAAAAAAAAGAGAATTCAGATCAACTGAAGTGTCTCTAAAGTATTGTCTTTATTAAAGACTCTGTCAGGTAATCACGTTACGATTTGGCCCAGATGCTCTGCCTATCACTCCTTTGAAGATGATTGCTTATGATGGCAATGTCTGGCCTGATAACTAAATCAGGCGCAGCATTTAAAGCGGAGGGGTGTCTAGAGGCACTTGTTGCAGTGACAAGCAGTGCCTTAGGACTCTAAGGATGCTGTTAGTTGAGCTGAATTGTTCTGCAAATGCAGAATACTTCCATGCAAACAAAACAGTACAAACAGTACCGCAGAGCACGCTCTGGACCACCCTCTGTGCGGAGCAGGGAGGTTTTCAGTAGCATCAGCCAGGCCATAGCTGCTGAACTCTGGGATGAGGCTCAGGAAAATAGGTGTGTGAATTTCAAGCCTGTTCAGTGGTTCCCTGCAGGGCCGGGGTCAATCCACTCAGCATTTAATGAAATCTCAGTGAAAACAGATTGGGGGTGTATGAAGTTCTGCCACCACTGCAGACACTGTGCAGCTAATGCTGCCCTGTGTCTCTGCCAGCGCCAGGGGACTGGGGCCCTCCAAAGGCACTGCAGTATCAGACTAGCTCAGCCTCCATCCGTGACTTTTTTCCACCCTGTTTCTAGGGACGTGCCTTTGAACAATGTTTTGTTCATTATTTATCTGCATGAGAACAGCCGTGCTTGCAAATGATTCCTCTGTGCTGCCAGGTAGCTTGCTGGTTAGGGTGCTGGCTCACAACAGCAAGACTGATGATGGAGCAAAGCAGGAGAAACCCAGAGAATTATTCCCTTTGACTCCCGAGTTCAAAAATGTGATTATTTCCCTGTAGACCATGAAAAATCCCCAGAGGTCATCCAACACCTCAGGATAGCAGCACAGAGTGCTGAGCCCTTATTTCAGAGCATGGCTGTCCCCTGCAATGAAAACTTGAAGGAAATAATAGCCAGTGGCCATGCAAACATGATGCGTAATTTCAGCAGCAGCAGTGTACGGATCAAAATCACCAATATACACATGCACTACTTTCCAGTTATCCATTGTCTTAATTTTTAAATGTCCACAAGTCCAGCTGATTTGTATGGCTTGTTGCTAAGACCAGGGAGCAGATTATGCCTGAACCACTTCTCATTCAAATCAGAGCAGTTCTATTCATTTCAGGGGTTACACTAATATAGAAGTGGCATGAAAAGGGACAAAGGGACTTTGCTCTGTCTTTCATATCCACCCACATAACAGTATCTCTTAAATCTCTCTAAAGTCAGTCGTATGCATTTCTCCCATTCTCTGCATCAGTTGTAAGATAACAGTATAAAGCACTGAAGGTTTGGTGCTCCTGCTGCAGAGCATTTGGCTTCTGGCAGAATTATACCATGGAAGCAAAGCTAATGCTCATAAACAATGTCTTTTGCTAAGTACTTTTTTTGGCAGCTCTTGGCATTCATTTTTGTAGTGTAAATCAATCGCTGCTTATATTTTCTGATTTCAAGCCAAAAGTTTGAAAAAATACTGTGCTCTATATGTTTTGGGTTTATCCTGCTGATCTCTATAGGAAGGTCAACTTTATCCACAACTGGAACCAGTAATTCTGGAGGCTGCCAGCAGTATTTTACATTCTTTTCTTACTCATCTGAGAAAGACTGTTTTTCTGCTGCTCTTCCTAAAGAGCCATGCGAACATCAAAATCCTAATTAAATGTCATTTCATGAGTATCAATCTCCCAACATTGTTACTCAGGATTTCCAATAGCAGCCTGGCCAGATGTTGGTAGATAACATCAGCAGCGTTCTGTGTTTTTCTTGGACACAAACTGAGTAGAGATTAAGTATATTCCTTAGTGTTTTCCACACTTCACCTCCCAGAGAGTGCCCAAAATCTCATTTTATTTTACTTTAGATGAGAGAAGGATGCTGAAAGTGAAACAGTTATCTGGATCTCAGAGGAACCCAGAAGAGGAGCTTGAGCCCAAGGAAAAAGGGAGAAACCAGAAAGCAGAGAGAAAGATCAAATTAAGCCAGTGGAGTAATATTCAGCTTTCAGGATTCAAAGGCTGCTTGGATCATATCACCTGGTGTGGCTGCATCAGCAGGACCGAATTTCAGTCATTACACTTTCAGAAGCCTGGAGTACTTTCAGAGTAGCTACACAGCAGATTTTAGTCACCCTAACAACATTTTATCCAATGCCAGCTTTAGCAATATGTAGTCTTGTCACATTCTCGGAGTGCAAGCAGGATTTTCTCCTCTGACCTGTGCCACTGTGACAGTGTCCATCTTCTGCTGTGCTCTGGGGATGGCTGGACAATATCCAGAGATCCAGGCAGATCTGCTGAGCCATCACCTGCCCTCAGCTCTCCCTAAAATGTTGAGGTGTTAGGGTTCACATTGTTCTGAGGTTTTTCTTCAGCTGATTTGGTGCTACTTGGCTCTAATTTAGGGCTTGGGGAGAGACTGTCTGGCCGTAGGTAAAGAAGAAAGCACAAATGAAAAGAACATCTTCACACTGAGGTAAGGTGCACGTAATGCTGCCATCACTGACAGTAAAAAGTAGAGCAGTAAGTATATGTGGAGCTGATTAACCTGAATGATGACTTTCAGGCTGTGATTTAAAAAGCACAGCATGACTCCACTAGCAAGACTTGTGTTTTCCTCTGTTTATGGAACAAAACTGGGATCCTTCATCTTTAATATTGTTCCTTTATCTTCTTGTCTCTGCTCTTCACAGACACACACTCTCTCATGTATATAGCTGGTATAAAGTAGACCAAGGACAAGCCACCACTGACTGTGCTATTATAATTTCCATTCGCAAGGAGACTAAAATGAACTATTCTGTTGATTTCCTTGTCTATGTGGAAAAATTAAGCAGCATGATTACTGTAATAACCTAGAGTTATTGTGGTCGTCAGGTGGGCACAATGCTCCAATTTTATTTGGAAATAATTACTTCAAAAGCAGAGCAATTTTTCCAGGACAGTGTCTTACTCTTAAAGAGTGTGTTCGCATGGCTTCCACTGCATCAGCAGTGGCAGTGATTTTCTCTGCATAAGCAAAGCCCCAGAGAGGGAACACATTACATATGGCTCCTCCATAACATGCTGCAGTAAATATGAGACTAAAAGGGCTGAATAAGAGAAATCTTGTAAGTCGGATGGAGCCGCACACAGAAAATGAACAGTCATGCCAGGCTCAGAGCCAGTCACAATTTGGCTCTGCATAGACTTGTGTCATCTCTAACAATGACAGTCTACTTTGTTACAGCTGTAATTTGGATCACCACATAAAAAGGGAATAACAACAACAAAATAATTATCCTGATCCTACACTTTTTTTACTGCCTTTTGAAATCCTGCTACAACTTTGCAGAAGGCTAATAAGAAGAATAAGCTAATGGCTGTGGATCCGTCAGCAGGGATTTCTCTCCACTTATGTCTTTCCTCCTGAATTTTCACACACTAACTGCAATCCTTACTAGGATGTAAAGTTTCCCAGATGCGGTGGGTTTTCATCAGAGCACAAAAATGGGCAACCCTTAAACAGTACTTAGTATTTAAATCAGCATGAAACAGACCCCTAACTGCCTCCACATCCAGGGGAGTGAAGGCAGGGAGCAAAAATGCCACTATCCACAAGATCTAAACTTTAAAGTGAGAAAATACATGCTTAGATACAGTTATTATAAATTGTTTGTGGATACTACCCATTCAATTATTCACTTGCTGCAGAAATCTAAGATATGTACTTCATGTAAGTACTATAGCAGCACAAAACAGGCCAGTAGTAAGGGTCAAAGTGTCTCAGATTCACTCAGCTACAGATCTTCATAGAGATGTTCATTTTCCAAGATCCTGAGGGTAAAACCCTAAGATTATTTGCTATATATCTATAGTACAATTCTTTCAAGACTCTCTTCCCTATAATTCCAAGATCAACACTTGTTTCAATTTTAGTGGTATATGACATCAGAGGTCAGACTCATCCATTGGATGAACTTGACTGTAGATAGAGCATTTGGAGAAAGCAAAGAAATAGATACAAATAGTCTAAGGTTAACCAAAAAAAAATAGTCACCAGAGATCATCTTAGAGCTTCTCATCAAGATAAAATTTTTCACTAATTAACAAATTAGTCATCCTCTTTATACTGTGCAGTGTTTATCAGGCCTGCTCTGAGGCTGTGTTGGTTTTTCTTTGAAGTAATAAAGTTTGGATTTCTTTGATTTCTATGATTAGGTGACCATATCCTCCTTTTGTTTACAGCAGTG